TGCTCTATTTGCACCATAATCTTGTATCAAGAACTTGAAGGCTCAAAACGTAATATTTTTGAGTGAGACCAGTTGCATTAGAAAGATAACTCATCAAAGTACGTTTTAGAAGAAAAAACAGAACATTTGAACTTTTATTTTGAAAGATACAGTCGACACAAGTGCTAACAGAATCTGTCAGTTTTCAAAATATATCTTTTAATGATTAACTTCCACATGCAATGAGGTTTTATCCTATTTTCATTGAGTTCTAAGTTCGTGGATCATAGATTATCATCATTTTGAAGACATTTTCATATCTTTGATGTATAATCTCCTCTTTTGAATTCTCCAGAAATTTAATTACAAAGTCAAGAAGAAGGTGTAGAAAATGAGAATCTTTGTTATTGTCCAAAGGTAAGATAACCATTCTAATACCTTTTGCTTGAAATCTTGAATATTCTTCAAGATTGACATATTGTTAATGTTGTTTGAAGATGAAATCAGCTGGAGGGGTATGGTTTAGAGAGAGAGAGGTTAGTGAGAGGAAAGATTTATGCAAAATGAGGATGAAAAATGGGAGTTTTTAAATAATATGGAGTATTTATATGTGGGTTTAAAGAAAGGAAATGGGCTGGTCTTATTAGAGCCCAAGTCCATACTTGTTTGTTTTTATTTTTATTAAAATAAGGCCCATTTAAAGTAAAACATAAATATAATTGTCAAATACTGATAAAATATCAGTATTAGGTCAAAATTCCAAATTTTTGTAAAATTATTTGGACATTCAAATAAAACTTTTTATAATTTAATTTGAACTTTTATAATATCAACTTTATTTTCTTTGGAGAATTTTTATGAATTTTGCATTACATAAGTTAACTTTATCAGTTACCCAACGGAATAGGATTTTCTGAACTATATTTTGGGAACTAAGTCAGATGAATTCTAATCAACATGACAAGATCCTAATATAATTCTTAATTTTAAAAATCCTATAAGGTGCTAATCTGACGCCCAAAAATGACGGATGTCACAGCTTGTATAATCTTCATCTGAGTAAGCTGTCAGTTCAAAACTAGTACCCTTGGGATACCAGAGTCCAAGATTAGCAGTCCCTTTGAGATAACGGAAAATGCGCTTAATGACACTTAAATGGTACTCTTTTGGATTAACCTGATATCTGGCACAAAGATGTGTTAAAAACATAATATCAGGTCTACAAGACGTCAAATACATTAAAGAAACTATCATGTCTCGGTATGTTTTCTGATCTACAGCTTTTCCAGACAGATCAACATGTATTTTCAGTCCATGAGCCATAGGTGTTTTTATAGATGAACAGTTTTCCAAATTAAATTTCTTCAGGATATCAAAAATATATTTTGTTTGA